GTCGTTTTTTTTTTTCCCCTTCCTCACCCCATTTCCGGTGGCCTTTGGTCATGAAGATCAGAAAGGCAAGACTCGGGGGTGGGGACCTCGCTCGTGGTCCACGGCCCAAGTTCGACGGAAAGAGGGGGCTGCTGGAGTAAACCTTCGACGCGTATCTGGACTCTTTTCGTAGTACATTTGCACTGGTGATCGAACATTTTGAATGTATTGGGACCACTATCAGCTCCACATGCATTTGAAATACTCTTCAGTGATTAGTGGCCGTCGATCGTCATAATGTACTGTCAAGAATGAAGAATCTGGGGGGGTGGGACTTCGTTCTGTAATATATATATATATAGGGTTCAGCCTCCTGATGAGTCGGTGAAACTCCGAGGAAACAGTTTGTCACAGCCCCTCGTTTGTTGTCCTCTTCTCTCTCTCTGCCTACGGTTTACCGGGCAGTTCTGTTTGTGACGATATATATTGGATTACATTTTTGTAGGTGTAGCAGCTGAGATGATATCATTCAATGTCATGCGATTTGGACTCGTTATCTTGATCTAACAGCTACATGCGTATAGCATTCATCCACATGGGCTGGTTGTAAGTCAGTTTCAAAGTCGAAATGAGTTTCAATCTTGGCTACCAGCCGGGCCGCCCGGGTCGCCCTATTTTCCCGGACGGCCCGGCCATGCAAGGACCAGGGAAGTATGAGATACTCAATGACAACGATGGTCAGAACCAGAATCACACTCGTCCTCAAAACACACAGTACCAATGCTTCGGTCACAATCGATCAAGACCAAGATAGGACAGAAAGAGACTCGACAAGACAGAGACCCAAACCAGCTATGCAAAACCCGAACGTGACCGGCTGTTTGAAAGATAAAAATGACAATACAACAGCGATGGTGGAATGATTCCACCTCGGCGACGACCCGACCGGTTTCGTCTGACCGCCGCGTCAGACTCATCAGGGGTCTTTTTTGGAAACAATCGAGAGCGCAAAGCTTAAGTATCAGATACTAAAGCTACATAAGCCTGAAGCACCGTCGAAACCATGCAAGGACCAGGGAAGGTCTTAGCAAAAAAAAAATTGTTATGAAGAAAAATAAACTGCCTCAGGGTTGCATCAAAATTCTTTACCATATTTAAAACAAAAAAAAAGGTTTTTTTTTTGTTTTTTTTTTTTGGTCCGGCGGGGCAAGTGGCCCCGGGCCACTCTGGTAGCCTAGTTTTCAATAATCAATCAGGGCATACTCACACTGGGACCTATAATCCCAAATGTTCCCCCAAAAAGGGTAGTGGGCCCATCATACAGATTTGTGTGCCCATTTGTCAGCGGGCTGGGAAGCCGCGGGGCAAGAGAGAGAGAGAGAGAGAGAGAGAGAGAGAGAGAGAGAGAGAGAGAGAGAGGGAGAGAGAGCAAATGCCGTATTTCCTTTTTCGCATTTTCATCGAAAATTCAAAATTGGCAAAAATTCGTTCACAAAAGTTCTTGCACACTTTGTGGATGGCGCCATGTGATGAGCCAAGTACCAGATCCCCATTTCTCCAAACGGCTGCGACATTGTCCAATCTGAAAAGGTACAGCAGTGTGACCTGAACCATGCCCAAAACCTCAAATCGGCAGAACGCTTCCCAAAAAAAAAAGAAAGAAAAGGAAAAAGAGTTAACAACGAAGCAGTAGCTACCGTCTTCACCAGGTCCGAGGTCCCACTAGCAAAGAGGATAGGATCGAATGCCCGACCCGAGCAGTAGCTACCGTCTTCACCCGACCCGAGCGTGTTCTATTCTGGTGCGTGGTCCCACTAGCAAAGAGGATCGGATCGAATGCCTGAATCTGGATGTGTTTTATGCAGAAAAGCAGTTCAATCTCGATTTCCTGCACCTCTCTACAAACACGTCCAGATTCAGGCATTCGATCCGATCCTCTTTGCTAGTGGGACCACGCACCAGAATAGAACACGCTCGGGTCGGTATCCTTGTCACGTGTGCATCGTTCACCCAAATGGGTTTTAATAACGTCATTACAGCGCGCGGGCATTCAACCAGTAGCTACCGCCGTCACCCGCATAGAACGCCCGGGTCACTGCGGTCAGTATCTCTTTTTTTTTTTTTTTTGCGTTTTTAAAAATTTGTACCATTTTGCGATTTATGCGTTTCATCCGTGCGCAGGGGCCATGCAGCTTTCCAATTTTAACGGATGTCCCGAAGGACGCGGTCAGATCTGTCTAACAGCTACATGTGTATACCATTCAGCCACGTGGTATAGGCTGGGTTATATATCAGCCTCCTGATGAGTCGGTGAAACAGCCCCTCGTTTGTTGTCCTCTTCTCTCTCTCTGCCTACGGTTTACTGGGCAGTTCTGTTTGTGACGATATATATTTTTTTTTGGTTTAAATAACTTGTAATAATTTAATAACGTTATAGGGCGCGGGCATTCAGTAGGATTGCAAGGCAAAGAACCAGTTGCAGCGGTTACTGGCCGGGCGCCAAGTCCCACTAGCGGCGTTGAGCTACCTCAATGCCTGAATCTGGACGCTTTTGCAGAGATGCGCAGAAATGGTGTTGAGTTTCCTGAAATGCACGTCTCCACAAACACGTCCAGATTCAGGTGTTGAGGTAGCTCAACGCTGCTCGTGGGACTTGGCCCCGGGTAAAGACGGCCAGAGGGACTTCCGGAAGCTCAGGGCGCAAAGGACTGCGGGGCAGCGAATGACTCAGCAAGTTGTTCTCATTTCTTGCTTTTTCTCTTCAGTAGGGGAGGGGGAGGAGTCAGCACGTTTTTTCTTTCTCTCTCTCTTTTTTTTTTTTTTTTTTTTTTTTCCCGTTCCTTGGTGGAGGCGGGGAGTCGGCAAGTCGGTTCTCAGTAGGCTTGTGCTGGCTTTTATGGCCGTGTAGGCACCTCTTGTTGATGTAATGTTTTGTTTGTTAAATTTTTCTTTTAGATAGTATTTTGGAATTGTGTGGCTTTTTAGGCATTGTTGATGAGTTCTTTCCCAGGGGTCTAGTCCCACCTACAGCGTTGAGTTTTCTCAACGCTGAGCTTTCTATCACGTGCGGCATGGTGGGACGGAGCTCTGCCGTTGATGTATTGCGATCTGATGGTGCCGAAATACAGGAGAATAACCTATTAGATTTTGTCTTTTTGTTGAATTTTTATTTGACGTGAAAACCGTTTTGTAGTATGCTTTGGCCCTTTTGGTTTGGGGGGGAAACCATTGTGCATTGAGAAAACTACCCTACCGAGGGTAGGGTAGATTTCTCAACGGCCGTGCCTTTCCTTTTTTCGGTTTTTGAGACATCATTGCATCCTGAAACGGACGAACTCTGACAGCTGTGTTTGGCTCTCTGGCATGAAACTCGTTTCCTTCTTTGGGCAATGAATGCATTTGGCCATCCACGTTGTCCCTGTCCATTTTACGAATGGTGACCTCCTGTCCCCTCACCACGGGGAGTAGCCCTTTTTCACGGAGACGGTCACTCTGACTGTTCCAGACATTTTTCATTTCTCCGACTTACGTTATCAAAAATAAAGAGAAAAGCTGTTTCTAGCTTTTTTTTCAGGTTTTTTATTTCTTGTTTCGAATTTATTTATGTCGAAATGGCGTCACACCATTGAGTTTTCTAAACTCAACAACCTTAGGTGGGACCAGACCCCAGGGATGCGGAATGTCAGGGCAGTGGCCCAGTTTAGGCCATTTCTGGCAGCCTGGACACACCCCATCGCCTGCACCGAAGCTGGGTAATGGTCCCAGATTTTGCTCCGGGTTGTTTGTGGAGGTTTTCCCGGTCTCCCTTTTTGATTGAAATGAACAGAGTTTTCTTTAAAAAAAAAAAAAAAAAAAAAAGAAGTTTTGTCGGTTCTCACTATTTGAATTTTATATATTTGTGACGATATATATATATTGTTGCATGTTTATATGCTCATTCAGAGGGGAAAAAAAAAAAAGTGGTGCGGCGTATTCTTGACCGCAACCTCAGACTGTTCCTCGTTCAACACGTATCTGGAGCTGGTAATGAGCCCGATACATTCAAAATGTGCGGGCAGTCCGAAGTCCAGATAAATACAGAATGTTTAGTGGAGCGAGGCCACATTGCTCTTCTTTTTTTCTTTTTCCCTTTTTTTCCCTTTAGATTGAAAAGGCGAAAGTATAGTGCGCCAGGGCGAGGTCCCACTAGCAAAGAGGATTGGATATAACGCCTCAATTTGGAAGTGTTTGCGGACAGGCGCAGAAAATATAGTGATTGATCTTTTTTTATGTTGTTGTTGTTGTTTTTTTTTTTTTTTTTTTTTTTTTTTTTTTTCCGGATGTGTATCTGCTTTTCTGTACTCCTGCAGAAAACTCTGCACATAACACAAATGAGGAGGGCACGCAGCTGCATATAACCGTGCAAATGGGACCTTTATCTTTTGTCTTCTTTTTTTTTTTCGCAAATGCAACCTTCACATGAAAAACATTTTTGTGTGTGATGGTGTGGTGTGTGACGTGGTTTTGGAACTGCAGTCTGGTTCTTAGGGCCTGCCCGATGATGTCTCGCCTCCGACTCAGACTGCCCAGCTTGTGTGAGGGACGCCAGGCCCGCTTCCTGGCTCTGTAATATAAGGGACACCGGGCCCGGTTCCCGGTTTTGTTTAAAAATAAATAAATAATAATAAAATAGTAATAAAAAAAAAGAAAAGAAAAAAAAAATAGAAAACCTTGGCTATGTTCCTGGAGCGTGATTCCAATACTTCTTTTCAGCATCTAGGCCTCGTTAGACAGTCCTTGTGGACCCGAAATCCACAAGGAAATGATCGTTCCACCTGTCCTTGGGGACGATTCTCGAAAAAGAAAGTGAAAACACCACAAGGAGATTTCCTTGTGGCGTCCTTGTGGCCACAGCCATTTTTTCCTAACCCCTAAGGGACCTCTCGAGGTCTCTCGGAGCACAAGGAAGCGCGAAATTCGGAGCGGCGAAGGCATGCGTCGACGCACACTTTCGGTTCGTGGGTGGTCCAGACGTGGTCCAGCGAACAGGAGCACGGACATCTTTGCGTCGAAAATCTGCACGGCGCCCCAACGGCTCCAAACGGTAACCGTCGGCGAGAGGCCTCCATCCGTCCACGCAAAGTGCCGGCTGGCGTCCTGCGGTCTGCTGCGGCGGGCGATCGTCAACAACGGTCCGAAATTCGAGTGCTTTTCCCACCTGGCGCCCCTTTCGACGACGACAGTTTCATTGCAGAAGATCGTCGTTTTCTTTGTTTGTCGTCACGCCTCGCACGTTGGAGCACAGATCTTCCACCGATCTTTCTTGTGTCCACGTGCTTGTTCGTTGGACGGTCGACCGCTGTCGTCGGTTTGTTGCCCTTTGAATGGCCCTTACATGGCCGACCTGCTGCTCAGGCTGCCTCTGCTGCTCCTCGTCGTCGTGCTGCTTCTCGTCGTTGTCTTCTTCCACGTGTGTTTCGTCGGCCTCGTCTCGCTCGCAGCTTGCAGAAGGAGATCTTCCAAGAAAGCCGACAGGATGGATCGACGACTGGCCAACGGTAGACCGGCAGGCACAACCTCCGGAGCGAGTAATCGACAACGCAGTGCGGGGTCTGTAGCGAAGCAGCCGTACGACCCGAGGTTGTATGCTCACCTGCCTTCTCACGAGATTCCTCTGCCGCCGTCGGATGACGAGGGGGAAGACGTCAGGTCGTCGACTTTGTGGTTGGGAAGTGGTTCGACGCAGGAATGGGCGGCGACACAGTCGTACAGCGGCAGGCGGGTGGAGACCCCGTGGTCTTACACCTCACTGCTGAACGAGGGGCTCTGCGACGACGATGGCAATGCAGCGGTTGATCTCAGCTTCCAGTTGTCCACCAGCAGCGGAGCAGCGGCAACGCACACTCGGATCATCAATCCCCGCCCAAGCGGGGATTGCACGGACAACACGTACGGTGGTGTGTCCGAGGCGCGAGACGGCGGTCTGCTTCAATCGCTTCGCGAAGGTGACGGTAATTGAAATGAGTCGTCGACGATCGTCGGAGGAGTCGGTGCGGATGAACGTTCGGAGTGGATGCGCTTGTCACCTTCGTCGCGAAGCAGATCTGGGACTCCTCGAGGACGCCGCCCGAAGGATTTGCGTGATGGAGGTGCGCACGTGCAACGCGACGGTAGGCAGTTGTGGGCAGAGTGTAGGCAGGCCTTGCATCAAGGTGGAACGAAGACAATCACGAGAGGGGTGCAACGGCTCCACGTGGATGAAGGCGACGAAGCGGCTGTTGACGAGGCCTAGGGGTGTGACGACGTTGACGGTGACCACGATTGCAACTGTGACGATTTGCCAGACGTTACGCCGCTTGGGAGGAAGGCGGCGGAACGAGTGTGAAGAAGGGTCCTGCTATGAAAAACTGACGGAATAAGAAAATGGATGACGACGCAGGCCGGAGCGATGGCGAGGGCGGCCGAAATTTCTGGTCGGTGGGAGACACGGTCGCACTCGTCAGGGCGAAAAGGGATCAAGATCTGTATATCGCCGACATGGGCACCAATTTTGCTCGCATGAAAACGAGGGAGTGGAAATGGGAGGACGTGCGGGCGAGGTTGCAGACGATGGGCGTGACGAGGGAGGCCGTCGACTGCGGGAAGAAATGGGACAACTTGATGCAGCAATTCAAAAGGTCCACAAGTTCCAGAACCTCTCCGTAGCTTGCTTCAAAGGCCAAGCGATCGGAGGGCTGCAGCTTCGTCATGGACCGGAGCGTGTACGACGAAATGGAGGCCATGACGAAGGGGGATCACATGGTGGCCGGAGGGGAGACCATGGCCAGCGATGGGGGTTGGCTGTTTTTTATTTTAAGATCTTCATTTCGGCCCTTGGAGAGTGTATGGACACGCGTCCGCATAGGCGTCGAAAGGTCTGCTTGCGTCTCGGGGAAGGTGGGCATGGCAACAGATGAAGGGCGTGTCCGCGAAGGAGGTCTGGAGAGGTGCTGTCACACGCTGTGGACGACGACGGCAGGCAAAGACTCGAGGTCGGGGCCCGTCCGTCTGCTCCATGTTGTCTATGCGTTTGCGCCTCCTCCCGCATAAAGGTCGTCCGCTTGCGGCTTCTCCAGCATTGAAGGCCGGCGCACACGGTGCACAACTTTCACAACCACGCGGGACGCCCTGTGCCTTTTGTTGTTGTCGCACCTCACCGCGATCGCGTGCTCGCCCCTTTCATGGCACTCCTCGTCTGGGACTTCTTCAGTGCTGTCGACGATCATCGCTGTGGATCTTGTGGCCTTGTCGTGATGTCGACATTCCGTGCCGTGTAAAGCGCTCGCGTTCGCCACGCGGAGGTCTGCAGACACCGGTTCAGACGACGTGGCCGCGGACTTCGGCATCATTGTACGTGGACCACTCTCTCCTTCTCGCAGCGGATCCGTAGCGCCCCTTGGGAGGTTCGGCGGCCTTCAGTCGCGAAGATCTTCTTCTCTCCGTGGAGTAGTGTCGGCAGGGTTGATCTCCTTCTCGCGTTGACGTCCACGTTGACCTCGTGTGTGTTACGAGGGCGTTTCTTCATCGTCGGTGCGAACGCGGGCGATTGAGGCACAACAATCAATTCGAAAGACGGTGTTCGCGGCCCGTCAGCGGAACTACCATCGGCGGGGCACTCTCTCTTTGTTGCCGCGGATCTCTCTCGTGACTTGGGGGTTCGCCGTCGTCTGTGTTGTCCTCTTCTTGCCGCGGAGCAGTCTCGCCGGTGTCGCCCAAGTACTTCGGTACACCTAGACGCCTTGCTCCCCAACGCAGCGAAGGCGGTTGTTCCTCGTGTTCGCGAACGCAGGCGTAGCCACACACGGCCATTGAGGGAAGCGGCAAGCATGTCTGCGCGAGGCGGCGCCCGTGGCAAGAAGCGGGAAAACATCCCTGCGGACACTCAGGGGCGGGAAAGGGGTCGGCGGCATGTCCCTAAGGCGAAGAGGCTTCGTTCGGAAGAAGCATCAGCAAGCCTGCCTCTTCGGCGAGGGCGATCTTGGGCGACAACTAACGAGGAGGATGACAACGACGTGTTTACGACGGAGGAAGAAGCAGCAGAGGACACCGTGTCGGCACCTCGGGGAAGCACTCTTCAAAGGTCATCTGATCAGAGCGTGCGAGGAGATTGCTGATGCCCCCTTCGGAGGTGCAACAAGTGCATGCCCACAATACCCTGAAGGCGAAGGAGGTTGTTGTCGACGTCGGCGGCGAGGACGACGAGCCCTTGGAAAGCCGTAGGCAGCGCAATGTCACACAAGGCGCCACGGCAACAACACTCAAGATACGTGGCGCGACTGAAGAAAGGCCACCCTGCCCTCCACGTCGTCTCAGCCGCGTCCGCGCAACACAGCTACAGAGGGAGGCTCCATGGAACGCGGCGGAGGGGAGGGGGCCCAGCAAGAAGCACGCGTGGCGAGTGGGGGGGCGGTCGCTGGTGCAGCCGCGGGGTCTTCGGGCAATGTTGCTGCCGTGGCGAGAGCGAGACAGGAGCTCCCTGTTGTGGAGCGGGAGGTGCCACGCGGCGACAACAAGGGTGATAGGGAGGATGAGGACCCCTTTTTATGCTGGGTTCGGAGGGGAGGGATGGCGAAAGATCTCGCTGAGCGTGCCCGCCTGTGGGTTGATGACAAAGCGTTCTGGACGACAGGGGAGGGGAGAAGACTGTACAACATCGTCCACGAAACGCGGGAGTACTTTGTCGCCATCGCCGGCGGGCTGCAAGCGCCCGCTGTCCCCTGGAGCGTTGTCATGCCTAAATCTGCCACGAGCCTGACAAGGATTGCAGATTCCGCACAACTACAGCAGGCGATCTCCCGCACGACGGCAGCGGAGAACATTGCTCTGCGCGTGTTGCACGGATGGGTCTTCAAGTCCGGGAACCGCCCCCGAGGATACAATCTAGCTTTCCAGTACGTGTTGGGGTCGGTGGTGACGAACATTGCGCGTGCCATGTGGTACGGCGAGGATTGGAGCAACGGCGTGAGTGCGGCCGTTTGCGCGCACACAATCGACCTCAACATGGACGGGAAGTGAAGAGGGGGCAATGCTTGGCGGCATCGGAGATGCAGTTTTCGTGGCGGCGTGTTTGGAAAACAGATTCTTGATGGCCTCTCCCTTCGTTTCGCACTTGTACAGCATGTCGCTCCTGCTTCTAGACGCCCGACGTTTTCGGTCGTCCACTCTGGCAGGGGTGCTTTATGTGACAGTGGTCGCCGTTGCTTGTGGATGTGGATAGTGTGTCGGTGCTGATAGTGGAGAAGCGATGGTAGAGGATGCTCTCTTCAGCACATTGTAGGAGCGAAGTTGGTTTCTGTGATCTTGTTTTGTGTTGTTGTCAGGGCAGCTTGCGGCGAAACAACTTGATTGCGCTTGGGGCGCACCTTTAATTTTATAATTTTGATTCCTTCTGTATTTCGTCATTTTGCAGATCATGACTGATCACTCACTCCACACCGAATGGTCTTTCTCATGAAACACGAGTAGTCCTTGGCTTGTTGGATGTATATTCACACATCTCATCTTCATGTGCTTGTGCCATTGTCGGTTGTTTTTTTTTTTTTTTTTTTTTTTTCCCCAGTTATCCCAATGCCAAACAAAAGACGTGTTTGTGTTTTAGTTCAACACTCGCAGGAAGACAAAGCGCAGCGCACCATACTGCATAAGATGTCCGACAAAACATGTTGTGAACATGCAATGGCACACTGCATCAACGCAATGAAATAGCAACACACAATATCGACTCAATGAAATAGGCACACACACAATGCCAACACATACTGGAAATCGACAAAAGAAACTTTCAAAGGGATTTGCGAAATCGTTCAACAATTCATAGCGGAGACTTCAAAATCGAAGGCAGGTGGGGGACAAGTTTTAGGCCCACCCAAAAGACCAACAATGCTCTATCTTCTAAACTACGCCCGCTGTCCCAAAAAAAGACGCACTTCACACCTGCAGTGCGTCGTGTCCGCACTACACAACTTCAACGCCAATCACAGAAATCAAGAAAATCGATGGCGACGCACATCCACGAATCACGACGACAACAAACCACGACCCTCGACGCAAACTACCGACCCCAGAAGCAGGACAAAACCTAGCAACCCAATCAAGGCTGGATGGAACAACGAACGTGCCCTCCGGCCATTGCTACAATGAATGCACTTCCACGCGCTGTCGTCCACCATGGGAAACACGACCCTCCACGCAAACCACCAACCTCGACGGGGGACAAACGCTAGCGACCCAATCAAGGCAGGACGAAACAATGAATCTGCCCTCCGTCCATTGCTGCAATGAATGCACTTCCACGCGTTGCCGCCCACGATTGAAACACGACTCAATCGTGTTTCATTCGTTCCGCCAAAGCATGCCTCAGGGCCAACGGTTCCGTCGTCGACGTCACTAGCGACACAGGCTGAAGGGGCTCTTCCATCCCGAAAGTCCACACGACGTCGCACACCATTAGCGTCGACCTCCCATAGCAGATTCTCGTCGAAGGGGATTCCTACATCGATCAGTATGTTGTGCAGTATGCACATGGCGGTGAACTGCTGCGGGAGCGTGTCCAGGTTTGTCTTGTGTGTCCGCAGAAACAGCCGCCACATGCCCTTCAGCCTGCCGAACGCCCTCTCCACCGCTCTCCTCGCCACCTTCTGCTTGTTGTCAAACCGCTCCTCGTCGACGTGCTGATTGATGCCTTCGTACGGGACGACCATCCATTCTGAAGGGGGGTAGCCATTGTCCGCCATAACGTACCCGTTCGTCTTCACACCGAACGACAGTGTCACGGGGGGACCACGAAACAACAACCCCTCCTCCGCGCGCAGCGACAGGCTGGACAAATGCAGCACCCTGATGTCGTGGCAGCTACCTGGGTATCCCATGTGCACGTCGAGCACACGCAAGTCCAGGTCGACGACAACCTGCGCAACGATGGAGAAACGGCGCTTCCTGTCGTAGTAGTTTTCGCTCGGAGCGTTCGCCGGCTTGTCGACGTAGATGTGAGTACAATCAATGCGACCGTGGCAGTTGGGGAACCCTTTATCAGCAAACGCCCGCAGAAGGACGAGTTTACGAACCCCTGTCGGCCACGCGATCTTCTCTCCAAATACCCTTAGCAGCGCGGCAGTCACGTTGCGGACGGCAATCAGCCTAGAAGCTCGTCCAGTCCCGAAGTTGCACGTGCTGCTCTCGTACGTCTCCCTTGAAGCCCACATGTACAGTGCGTACGCCACAATTTGGTCTGGCTGCAAAGGCTCCCTGTAGAACGTGACCCGCCGCTGAAGATGAGGCGCACACGCCTCCGCGATTTCCCGGAACACTCGCGGCGACATTCGTAGCTTATCCCGTAAGTAGTCGTCTGTCGCGTCGTCGCATTGCCTGAGGTCTTCCCACGTGCCTCCTGTCCTGCACTTCACCCAGCACCGCGGCGTCGCGCAAGGAATCACTCCGTAACCCAATGCGTAGCACAGCTGAACAACAGCCTCCGACGTCGCCACGTATTCGGCCCCATCGTCCGCTTGCATCAACGTCCTCCGTCTACGCGCGCGCAACTCCTCCTTCAGTCGCCTCAGCGCCCTCTCCTGCTGACATCGAAGAACGATCGTGGACACGGCCGCCGCCACGGCCTGCAGCTCACGAGGCATCAACACATCACGTCTACCCTCTGTGCTGCCCTCCATAGCCGCGACGTGGACATGGTCCCGTCTTTCCGCTGCCGTCTGTGTCGTCCTTTCGCACCCGACGAAGAAGCCGAAGACGTCCGTCGAAAGGTGGCCCCTTTTCTCTGCTTACAGTCCCTCATACGGAAACGAGGAGCAAGGCGCAGTCCACGTGTGCAAACGTCCACGGCGATGGACGCACCACACGCTGCCCGCGCACTCGCAACAGCCTCTGGACGAAACCTGCGCCGCCGCTGAGCCCCTTTCCGCAGAACGCCATCCTCGCGTCGCCAGCCACACGTCGTCGTCGTCGTCGCAGCAGTCATTCGAATTTCGAATTTCAAATGCCCACGCCCTTGGGGTTAAATTTCTTTTCGTGTCGCCCGCCATCTGCCGTTTCCCCTCGCGTCGTTGGACCACGCGGCCCTCACACGGAGAAAAGAAGCTGGTCCAAGGACGACCAACCCCGCGGCCGCTAATTTACGTATGAAAATGGCCGCGGGGACGCCACAAGGAAACATACTCGGGGGAGGTCCCCAAGGATGAGTGGAACGACGCCGCAAATTCCCCTAAAAAACCACAAGGACATTTCCTTGTGGCTCAAGGAATTCGTAAGGAGTGTCTAACGAGGCCCTCTGTCCATATAACATATCCAGATTCAGGAGCTTGATTCCATCCTCCTTGCTAGTGGGACCTCGCCTCGAGCTTACCACCGTGTATTACCATGAATGTATACAGGCTCTATCCCGACCAAATACAGTCGTTTTTTTTCACCCTTTTTCTTCTTCTTTTTTTGAATTTGGGACAGCCGAAAACATTGGTCGGCAACCCAAGGATTTCGACAGAGATCAATGTGCGGAACGGCTTATCAATCCCGTGACATTGTGGCGAGGTCCCACTAGCACAGAGGATTGGATTTAATGCCCGAATCTGGATATGTTTGTGGAGAGGTGCAAAGAATCGGGATTGATCTGGTTTTCTGAATCTCTTCAAGAGACACGTCCAGATTCAGGTGCTTAATCCCATCCCCTTTGCAGGTGATGATGGTGGCCAAATGCACATCTGCCCGTTGCTGCAATGTTGTGAACTGCAACTGCAGCCCAGTCTTGCACATTCATCTGCCGTTTTTTTTTTTTCTTTTTTTTTTTTCTGTGAAATCATGAAGGAAATGTCTCTATTTCAGATCCTTGCTGCTTCATCAGTCCGTGGTGTAAAGATTTCGTTTTTTGAAGAGTAACTGCGTAATCACACAAGGCTTTCAAAATCACAGAATCACGAAATCAGTGGCCGTATCGAGTTTTCCTTTCAGAGGGACTCGATCTAGCCACTATTCTGAGTGCCTACCGTCTTCACCCGAGAACACCTGGTCATTATAGCTGTATTTGGTGCAGTGTTCAGTCCAGATACGACAATAATTACAGGGCGTTCTATATTCAGGTGATGATGGTAGCCTGAATATTGTACTGTGAATGGAGCGTAATGACCAGCAAAATTGCGAACTGAGTAATCTGCTGTTTTCTGAGTTTGGCCGCCTGATCGAGTGACTTGCTGAGATTCCTGTATTCTGCTGAGATTCTAAGTACTATGTGTGTGTGCATGATTGCTGAGTTTCTGTGTGTTTGCCTGCTTACATGATGGTCTGAGATGTCACGGTGTGTGTGACCCGCCAGGTACTTATGTGCTGAGAAGGCCCACGGGCCTGGTACTTACCTGTGTCCGTGTCGCTGTGAGGGCGCAGCGGGGTCGTAGCGCAGGAAAAGGCCCGCGAAGGCCAAAGCACTCAAGTAGAGGGTAGGGAGGCAGAAGAGCCGAAGTAGAATTTCGAGTCCCGTGTCAATTCTTCGGTGCAATCATTTTGCATGGTAGCGGTCCAAGTAGCTCGAGTATAGAGCCTGCAGGAGGGGATATTAGACTGCCGTGATGTTTCCCTCCAAGTAGCAGAGAGGTTTAGCAGAGGTTTAGCAGAGGTCCAGAGGTTCCAGGTGGACTTGGAGGCTGCACGGCTTGGAAGTGACTGCACGAAGAGGCACTAGTCTGGTATATCGAGAGAAGCGGCGAAGAGCTCTTCCTCATTTGCAGCATGGAAGTTTGGGCGACACGCTGGTGGAGCGAGCAATCGGCATAGCAGCGCTGGTGAGGAAGAAGGCAGGCTTGGGCCCCCCTCCACCTTAGCTATGTTGAAGAGGACCAAGGAGGAGACTCTGGGAAGTAGGTGGAGGATGAGGAAGATGGTCAGCTGTTAGGGTTCACTCGTTGGTTGATTGTTTAGCTGTTTTTGGGGTGGAAGTCTGTTGGTCTTTTTGAGTGTTTAGGGTTGGAGGTGTAAATTTCTGGTTGCGTTTTCCTTTTGATGGTTTGAGTTGGTTTGTGTTTTAGTGTTAGGGTTGGCGATGTTAATCAGTGTTAATTAGGGTGTGACGTTGCAGGCTGACGGGTGCTCAGCCGCGGTGGGGTTAATCCAGGCCGGAGAGCCTGGTTCATCCCTGTGGGCCGTGGTTATTGATGCGAGGGACGCTGGGTCCGTTGTGTGACGAACCACTTCCCGACCCCGTGCCATCTTTCTTACCCTTTCTTTTGCTTGTATCATACCTACCCCAGGAAAACCCCGTTTTGAGTTCTTGCTTTCGGGTGCCGCATTTTCCTTTTTGAAGAGCTTTT